ATTTTAATATTTTAATTATCAAAATATCATAATTTTTTACATTCATTTTGATAAATTATTGTCTGATGTTAAAAATAAAAAAGAAGGGGAGGGGAGAAGGGGAGGGAAGGCATGTTACTAGCGCTCCACCCTTGTCCAACAAGTACTTTAGTTCCATTTTGTGAAACTTATAGGCATTCAAGTAGTAGTTGTGATTTTTAGTTGCTAAGCACTTCGTTCATGTATCCCAAGAAAATTATGGATAATTAAGACCTTGATCCTGATATAAAAAGGAAGGGTTAAGCTCTATGGAACGTGAAAAATTCTGCGTTTGTAGATGTGAGATTAATTATGTCATACACAAAATTAAAGTCTAAGATGCACATAAACTTCAACCAGGTGATTGGAACCATTTGGACCACCTACACACACACATTGCAAAGATTGAAAAGGATTAGTCAGATGACTTAAATGCCTGCATTTGTGACAAACATGACTTATCTCTTTTTCAAGGATTAACTGAATCTTTATCCAAAAATCATGTTATCCTGCAGCAATCAGTTGAAACTTTTGAAAGTGACATTGATTGATATATTATCTGATTTAATGTATTATACAATATATTTATTAAAAAAATATTGTTTTTTATTTTTATTTTTTAACAATTTGTCACATGACGGGCTCAAAACCCGCCCAAGAGGGAAAAGGAAATACACCTCAAACTAGCAGGAGATCAGTTGGCCTGAAAGATCAGGTGCATTTTTTATTTTAAAATTAAAGACAAAAACTAAAAATACGATCATACATATAAGATATAAAAACTAATTAAATTGACTGTTCTTATATTATATTTTAATAATTAAATCAGATAAATGTAAAAAAATATGTCAAATTGAAGATATATCAATCATTTTTCTTTTAAAAAACATAAAACTCCTCAAGCTTCTCATGCTTGCTAACCACAAAGTAAATTGTGTGATCATGCATCATAGGTTCTAGTGGCCGTTGGGGTTTCATGATGCCCTCAAAAGTTTCTCTTCCCCTTTTTCCTTCTCTCTTGATATAATGTTATAGGATGTTTACCATTGGATAATATCACTTAGAAACACAAATATGTTGCGAATCCACTTTTTATTGACAATAATCATGTCATCCATGACTCTCTCATTGATCGATAAAGAAACGGACGGAATATATTCTATTAGATTCTGTTAAGTTTTAAGTTCAAATCATTTCATTAAAGTTGATTAGAAAACATTGTGCATTGGGACTAACTTTTTTCTTTTCTTTTCTTTTTTGAACAAGCCAGAGAAGCTTTTGGACTAACTTATAAAACCATCACTGGTGTTGCCTGAAAATGGATTAAAAACCTCTGATCCTTTCTCCATTTTTGCCTAGAAAAGATAGTGGAAAGGCCCACAAGATAATTTCCTTAGATCTTTGTCTCCTCCCTCACATCCCTTGTTATATATGGCTCCAAAATATAAATGGTTCAGTCATTTTCATTTTCTTGTGAAATTATTTTTTGGCACTTTTCCTTAAATTGAAAAAGAGCCCCATCCGGGGACCTAAACTTTCTGCTTCTTATTATGATGCAATAATGGAGTTTTAACCTTTTCTTGAGAGCCACAAACTCACGTAGAACCCTCACACATATTTTTGTTTGTTTTCTTGTCTTTTCTTATTTGAAATATATAATGATTATAGTATGGGATTATATATATGTGTGTGACATGATTAACATCTTCTTTTTTCTAAATAGTATTACAGAAATGATTGGGTTTCTCCATTTTTAAAAACCCTTGATTGCAAATTTGTTGTTTCCTCCACAATTTTGTAATTTGCACCATGATTGTTGGCAATTAATGAAAAATTACTTAATGAAAAACTACTTCTCCATAGTTCATACCATGCAGTTTCTTATTTCCTTTCCCCTTTGTTTTTGAGCATCAGGAGCGTATATTAATTAAAACTGTTTTAAAGACATGGGTATACACCTACACACACAAACTTAGAACGTGAAATCTTCATGTCACGTGTTTAAACTATTCGACTGGTCTCTACTTTAAATGAGCATGCATTTTTGCCAGGTGCATAGCACCCTAGGTACATGATTGACATGAATATTGGATTTTTTTGGTTGTAGTGATGGTGGGGTGTCCGACTTTGGGAGGTCACTTGGCCATATGTCCGCCACAAAAATGGCCCCTTTCCTGTGGGTCATTGGGGCAATAGTGTCATAGTGAGGCAGGCAAAGAGGTACATAGCACGTTCAATCAACAGCAACAAGTTCAGAGTTCCATGATGGAGAGAGACTATTTCTTGACAACTGCATGCCCACAGATTTGCAAAACACACAAATTTTAGGGTTCTGGTTAGTTTTTTCTTTTTTTCTTTTTTAAGGAGAAATTTGGGGGATGGAGGAAACAAAGAAAAAATTAAAGGAATTTTAGTTATTTTAAGTAAAGCATCCCTAACATTCGAGGTTGAGTATTGTTTAATGCTTTCTCTAAAGACAAAACAGTTTAATTAAGAACTTAATTTTTTGAATATGGGGTATTTTGGATGAAGGGATAATTTTTTTTTATAAATAATTTAGTAGAAATAGAACTTCCAACCTACTTTAACTTAAATTTTTAAGTTTAATTGGTGAATCAATTGACTTGATAAATTGGTTCTAAATTCAAGAGATATTAATTAGTAATTAGTAATGAGTTGTTATCAAGAGCACAGATTTGATTTAGTTTGTCAAAAACATGGACTATATAGATACGATTTGTATTGTCTGCAAAATGTTCAAATTTAAGTCACCTTCACTTGAGGCAAATGGCACAACACAAGTCTCCTTTTTTCTTCCTCCCAAATTTTCTATATTCAACCAAAAGCATGGATTTGGCTTGTGTAGGAGATTTGTTAAACCATCAAACACAACAAAAACATAGACTTTGATATCATTTGTTAAGAAGATTGATTATCTAGGACTTTTATGCCTAGAGAATCTTGATTATTCAGTTTTTTTTCTTACTTTGTTTCATTTTCCTTCTTAAAAGTAAGATAGAATGCCCAGTGAGTTAACTATCAAAATCTCAACAGGAAGAAGAAAGATGCAAAACTCTAGAAAACCATGTCGCATCTGAATTGATATAATTGGGGCAGACCTCAATAGATCAGTGGTTGGGCTCTCTCTATCAAAGACTGACAGCTTTGCATTATTTTGAACACCTGCTTTGTACGTATGTATTATTAATATGAAGAATAGAACAGACATTAGATACCCCATGTGTGAGTTGAGGGGTATGATAGGAAAGGAAAGGCAATGAAGGGAGAAGCTAAAGGTTTGATCTAGACCCTTCTTTCCATTATTTTTTTTTTTTTTTTTTTACAAGGGTATTGATTAGAAAGTAAGTATGAATTAGTTGTTAGCAACTGGTTCTCAGACTGAGTGAACATTCCATCCTCTCAAATGAAGCGTGCGGCCATTAGACCGTTTTTTTGGTAAAGTTTACGACAGTGGTTGATCTCGAAACTCCGACCGTCTCACCCAAGCACTTAAGATTTGAGGTCGAACCATTGAGCCTAAAGGCCCGGTTCCTTCTTTTACATTATATTTAGTTTAAAGGAAATAAAAGGGAGATGAAATTTTTTTTATTTATTAAATTATAAAATTCAAAAATATTATAATTTAATTGATTAAAAAATCCTTCCTTTAATTTTCCTCCATTTATTTTAAACCACACATATTATTAACTGGTTAAAAATGATTTTTTTTCATCTATTTTTTCTCATTTCTCTCAATTCAAACATGTTCTACCTAATATCCCCATTTATTCAAGAAAGTCATTCTCTATACAGTGGTAATATTTGTTTTGCTTAGTGGAAAATAAAGATGAAATTATAAAGGAAAAAGAAAATTGAGGAAAAGCAATGGACAGCATTTGCTATTTAGTTAAGATGTATAATGATGGTTACAAATACCACTTTTTATCGCCATCACTATAACGTTCCCACCCAAAATCACATCCAATGACACTTGCCAAGGTTTCATTCATATTCTCTATTTACCCTGGTAATAGAATGCATTCGTTTATCCATGCCTTTCCAAGTATTGGAACTCTTTAGTCCCTCAGCATCCAGAGAACTTAAATCATCTACTGGCATCATAAGCTTGCTTTAGTTTTTGCCTCCAAACTTAAATGCTGACAAGGTTTATTCATCACTAGAGGTGATGTTTCCTCCACCAACCCAATATTGTTTAACAGCGAACATTCTCTTCTCTGGCACAAGGGGACCGTCCTCATGATCCATCATCTTGGTTTCCCACCTCATGCCTTCAGTGATTTTCCTGATCTCGTTTAGAACATCAACATCATCCCGGAAGATAACAGTGCCTTCAGGCCGCAAAATTCGATCCATTTCGAGTAGTATGTCTTCGAATTTACACCTAAAAAATCATTGGCATTTATAAAATCAGAACTTACAGATGATGAAAATGCCCATCTCCTCAAAAAGAAAGTAGATAGCTGAAAAGACCTGAGAAAAACTAAGCACTTTTGACTAAGATAACTGAAATTCCTCTATGCAAACTGACAGACTGCAAGGAAATCAAACATGGCTTATGACACATTGGAAAAAAGATGAAGAGACTTACTTGTCCTGGTACAAGCTAAAGACGTCACCAGCATGAATAAGGTCATATGTTCTTGGATAGGTAGAGAAACCTTCACACCTGAAATATATTAACCACTTAGTATTCAGAATAAAGTTTAAGTCATACATACATATGCAACTAAAAGAACTAGGACAAATGATAATTCAGCACACACCAGTCATGATATATGCCAATTAGACCTCTCTCATAAATAACACCTAAAGTGTTGTTAGCAATTGTGGGCACAACATTCATCACCCAAGATTTAGGTGATTCAAGTGCTGCTGCAAATCCTCCAAGACCTGCATTCATATCCATAACATTCCTGTATCTTGTTGTGCCAATCAATGAGTTGATCCTCTTGTAAGCATTTACATGCTTTTTCCAAAGTTTATTGTCCTCCTGGTAAGATTCGGTAGAAACCCCATCAATGAGTCCCTTGGATATCCGAGGGGGGACTGCAAACAGCCTAGCTGGGAACTTCATCAACTCTTCTCCTGAAAGCTCATTTGCATCATTTACCTCAGGGAAGGGGGTTATGCATGTATCCATTTCCCTGTACCTGAAGTATGCCATAGAAGAAATAATCAAGATGACAATCCAATTAGAAAATAATAATCAAATCGATTGGCCTAAATGGAAGTGGAATATGAAGTATCATGCACCTTTAATCATATTTGGTTATTTTAATGTTTGAGTGATTTGTGAATAAGAGAAACCATGGCTGGCACATGTAGACTTACCAAACATCATCGGCCTCCCTCAATTTACAAAAATTGATAGACTTCCTGGGACAGGATTTGTCATCCAGTCTTTTTCTCCATATAGCAATATCTCCCTTCTCATATGTTTTCTCCCAGCAAATTTGTTTAGCCAGATTCTCAATTTTTCTTTGCTCAGCCTGGAGCTCCTCCTTGGAACGCTTCCAGGTCTGGTAGTAGGTCTTGCGATTAATCGGAGGGCCAGACAGAATCCAGTATCCACCTGGCCTCAGGACTCTATCAATTTCCATTAAGTACATTCCAGCTGTACAAATCATAATAAGTGGAAATATTTTTAGTTTTATCATCAAGTTCTTCTAAATAATCATATTGTTGGGCTATAAAGAATGTCCAATTATCCACTGAAAAGTTGAAGAGAGTGAGAGACAGAGAGAGAGAGAGAAACATCAATGCAAAAATATTCTTCCTTGATTATAAGTTCCTTCTTTCATATCTTCAACTCCTAGCCTCTAACCATATATACTAATCACTTTATTAAAGACATATTAAGAGTGGGCAAAAGAGAATTAGAGAGGAGTCATGATATTGTTAATTACTAGCACGTACCATTTGAAGTCCATGGTATTAGGCACCGTGAACACTGGGCCATATCGAAGGCTCTTGATGGATAAGGAAGATGTATAGTTCCAAGAACACCAATAACAGCAGGTACTCCTCGCTCCAATGCCAACTGCACTTGAGCTTCATGATTATCTCGTGGTGCAAAAGACATAGTCAACACATTTCTTTTCATTAAATATGCGCCCCAGCTTGCAACCTGCATTGCAACATTTCCCATTAGTCAGGGTAATCCAAATAAACCACCAAAATAAATAAAAAAAAGACAACAAAGAAGAAGAAGAAAAAAAAGAATCAACTGAGAAAGGTTGTTGGAGAAAGGAAGCCCAACTATTTACAAGCCAGTTATATGGTGAATGATGTACATGAAGAGCTTACCACGAGGCACACATTCATACTCCATGGTAACCCACAGACATAACAAGCATATTAAGCAAGGAAGGCCCAATAACCAGTTCAAAGCAGCAGAATCAGGGTTGGCCCCATCCTTTAAAACATGTGCAGGGACTAACAGAACATATCTATGTGCATATTCTCAGGGATTTGAATGCTCAAACAATTCAGATGCTCAAAACTACTTAACAGTAAACAAATGATTCCCACCCCAAGGCCCCCCACCTTCACAAAAGAAAAACTAAATAAAGTCATAACCACACGGTTAAAACTTAAATATAGTTTTCAAAAGTTAACTTACTCCACAACCAGTATCCAGTGCTGTCCTGATAGTGCCATCTTTAATTGGAATGACTGATGCAAGCTCATTAATATATGCATCTACACCTTGAGGAAACATTGTTCCTGCACCTGGAAATTTGAACACATTTCCCTCAAACTGTACCCAATTCCGAACAGCTTTCTCAACTGTCAAGCTTTTGTAAGGAACATTGGCATAGTGGACATAATCACGACTCTTTGGCCATGGAAAAGGGGTGACATACCCTTTTGGTAGTGGAATAAGGCAACGTAATTTTTCCTTTTCAGGAGGGCAATGCCTCTCCCTGTAAATCATATTCTCCCTTGGGAACTTCATGGCTCGGTGTTGCTCCTGGCAGGGGGTATAATCAGTATATTTTACATCACATGGTTTAAAGACCTTAGCTTTTGGCTTTGAAGGTTCTACATTCTCCACATAATTGTGATGAGATTCAAAGTTTAAATTGTTGAAGATGTTGCAGTCTGTCTGTCTAGTTACTTCTAATGCTATTCTATCTCCTTTTCCAGAACCACTCTTCTGCCACACTCCCAGGAGGTAAAAGAAACCGCACAAACCAATCACAACAAATATAGACAGTGGATGACGCGATCTATTGCTAGGTGGATCATGCCTGGATCTCATGATGACAGATGGGACAAAATCCCAACCCAAAGCACACTGAAAACAGCATAAACATCAGAACACAATGTCTTGCCAGAGATGGTTCATTATAAAAGAGAGAGACCTAGTCACAAAGCAAACACATTCAGACTTTCAGAGAAATTATTCATAAAGTTCCACAATGAATTACGAAAAAGTTGTATTATCAGACATTCAAGTCAACCATATAGATAGATACAATTTCAAAATCTAGCACCTCAAGTGAACTTCCAATCAACAAAAAATAAAAATAAAAGACCCAGATAAATAGATGTATGCATCTAGCACTGGTTAAGTAATGGTTAGCAAAACCTCATGGTGTTTGACTGGACAAGTGCTCGATAACCCATCCAGAGTCTAGACTCAACTCTAAAAGGAGTTCTTTGAATCCCAGTCTTAACTTAGAAACAAGGTTTAAAACCTCAAGATCATAGCAAAAAGTTCACTTTTTTATTATATAAACTTGGAATAACTCACTCCAATTCCAGGCAAGAAAAGACATGTTTACATTCATTCTTAACGTGGAATCTAGATTTTAAGACTCAAGATCATAACAAAAGTTCACCTTTTCATATAAACATCTATCTTCCTAATCACCCACTACCTCGTTATATCTTTCAGACCCAACAGAGAAATCTCACATCCACAAGCCAGCGAGCAGAACAAACTGAAATAAGTCAACGTAACAAAACAGAAAGACCGTATAAAAAAATAAAAAAAATCCAACGTCTCATCCTGTACATAACAAAGCAACGAAGCAACAACATGCAAGGGAAGGATTAAAAAGAAAATGGATCAAGAAAAATAACCTGAAGAAGAAAGCTCTTTGTGGAGAGCGCAAAGATGTAAGCTTTTGTGGAGAATAGCGCGTGATAAGGGAGAATTTTTGGAGAACAAGATATGAAAATGAGCGGTAGAGCTAGTGGTCTGCTACAGTCGTGTTGTGAACTCTTTTACACGGCATAGCCCTCCCATTTCTCACGCAATGTAGTGAGCCCAAGGTTTCCTCATCTGCCTCTAATATTTCAGCACCTCACTTATTTTGATGGTTTGCATTTTGCCGTCTGTTGTACTTTTCTGTTTTTATTTTTTAATAATTTGAAGCCCTTACCATCATCAATCTAATCTTCTCTTGACTTTCTGAAATATGAAATTGACTCCTTTCTTCTTCTTCTTTTTTTCCTATTTTCCTCTTCCATTTGGTTAGAAAATATAAGTTGACAGATACTTTAAAGCAGCTGAAATTGATGAGAATGCAGAAACAGGTATGGATCACATCTCTCCGTCTGTCCCCTATACCAATTTTTATCAAAATTTCCATCTTGCTTTATCATGCTATTTAGATAGTAAAATGAAAATTATTAAATAAAAAATAATTTTTAATATCATAGAGTTTACTTGTCTCTTATTTAATAATTCAAGTTACAAAATTTAAATTGTAGAAATTTTTTTTTTTTTTAATAATAGAAAGTAACTGTTTCATACCTTCCCTTCTCATTTCCCGCCATGTCTGGATTACTGTCAGGATATTAGTTAAGCCTCCCGCCTAAGAGGAAAAGAACAGTACAGGGTCACGTGCTCATTTGACAGCAAAAATAGATTACATTACAGATTGCATACATGACAACGGTTGAGAAAATATAATTGTGATGTCTTCGGTGCTCATTTGTATTGTATATGGAGGCACCTCCCTCTCAAGGCCACAAAACTCTATAGAATTCTACAACAGCTACCATCAATTAGTGAGAAACTTTGTATCAAGTTGTCTCCTTACTATCTCTTAAGATCTTGAGCAAACCCCCTTTCTAATTCAGTTGTTTAGGCACATGGAGCTGAAAGGACTAACTTCACAAAAAGATCCCATATCAAAATGCCAGTGCTTCAGGCTCTGCATGAACATTTTGGTTGTATTCATATTAGACAAAGTTACAAATATCATTGGGATAGATAATTCCGGAAAGTTACAGATTGAAATGATAATATGGAAGCACACATGTGAACTCGTTGTATTATTAAAAAGCAGGACTTGCATGCAAGGATAAAAATGGTCCCGAAGCTCACCAGCCTTTAATGTCCAATCTACTTGACCAGATTTCACGTTCATACCGTCATCTGGTTTCAATGTGTTTCCACTTCCCTTAATTTTCTTCCTGGAAGAGCTCAATGAACCTTCAACTGCAAAACAATGAAAAAGTGGATGTTGATGCCTAAGCAGGAAAAATAAAGTAAACCACGCCCCTGCACAAGAAATGCAGCAGATTGTAGAAAGGAAATGGAACCTATGACTATTATACCCCAAACAGTGCACTAAGAGTAATTTCAATTATGATGATCTAATATCAGAAATGTTTCAGAGAGCACTGCAATAACTGACATGAGATATTCCATAGAATAGGATTTTCATAAATCATTTGTAAAATTCAGGATCTTTGATCTGGATTTCACTAATTTTCTCTTATGACTAAGGGTTAGCTCTGGGAAGTCTCTTATTTCACTAATAGTTAATTTAGAATCTAGGACAAATATTGTTAAAACTCCCATAGGAAGGATATGCAGTAATAGTGGGGCAGCATTTAAGCTAACAATTGAACACAGTAAAATAGCTCTTGTACCTTGCCATTCCCATACAACTTTTGATTCACCCTTCACCAACTTAGGATAGCGATCTACTCGAGAATCTTCCTGAACCAACTCCTCCACCTGTAAATATTAAAAGAAGACACAATGATTTGATTCTTTCTCCAAGCCAAACTCTGTAGATTCTAACTATAAAAGATAATTTGCAACATGTAGCATGCCTCACTCTCATCCTATAAAAAGTGGGCACACAAGAACATAGCATGAAAATTTTGAATCTTTATAATCCCACAAAAGAATGAAAAAATTACAAACACATGCTACTTTTAAGTTCAAAACAATTGGGATCCCAGTAAAAAATTATTGGCAGGAACAGTATGGGGCTTGAAATGGCAAAAGGATCTTATGTCTAAGCCTATTACTCACTGAATGGTTTAAGACAAGCTGAAATAGAGGGAAAAGATTTAAGTAACAAACCCCAACAAATATAAGATTAAAGATAATTTCATTGAGTCGAGCACAGTTTAATTGAGACAGAATGAATAATTCACCAGTCTGTAATGTATCAGGAAGTGAAAAATAAAAAAACTAAAAGCAGATAAACACATTAATACACACACACACACACAATAATACCTTTTTCCATAACAGAGGATCTTTCCTTTCTTTTGGCAAAAGAAGATGATCTCGCAATCGTGAGGCAACAACCCAGGGTTCACATCCACCATTTACTTTCTTTGAGGTCAAGGCATTCTCCTCAAGTCTGTCACATACCTAAAAATTTGAGAACAATTTAATAAGTTTCACAAGCAATCCACACTGATCAAAATAGTAATTTACTGGGAGTCCCCCTTTTTTGGCTGAACAATTAGATGGGAGTCTTTTGCAATAATGTCCACAAAAATCATTTTCATCAAGCTACATCTATATGACATCAACCTCAAAAAATTAGAAAGAAAAAAAGGTTCAGAGCTATAAGGTAAAAAAAAGTTTTTTGACAGATCATTTGTAAACATGTAAGCTTCAAGGCAACTTTCTTGCTTACCTGACAATAAAGCTCTTCAACTCTGGCTGAAAAATTGTGTTTCTGATGGACTTTCCATGCTAAAATTGCACATCCCACAAGCTGTAAATCTAAACATTATTAACAAGCTTCAAATTGACATTAGGCTAAAGCTCTCAAATGATGCCTTCTAAAATGGCATACCACCAAACAAACAGGCACAAGTATAAAGGCATGCTCCAAAACCCACTGACGGATGCGACAGGTAAATGGTTTATAAGATTCTGCCAACAAGTCTGGACATTTCAACTCCTTTGTGCTACATAAAAAGAAAAGAATGCAATGAAAATGCTTTCCACTAGATTTGAAACTTAACTGACAATGAAATGGGCATACCCATTAGAATTGGTTCTCATCTCCATTATTTTACCAGTGGTCTCCATTGTCCTCTGTTTTGCATATATATAAATGGAATCATCTGAGCCAAAGTCTTCCATCAGCTCACGGCCACCTAAATCATTCCAAATATCATCTTGTGGAACCTGAAACAGTCATATAATTAGAAGCAGTAGCATATGGTGCCAAGGATACTTAAGCCTCTAGAATTGACAGGAAGCATTTATATGGAAGCAAATCTCATAACAGTAAGGGTTTAGAAGAGGTACCCAAATTTCCCCAGTTCCATGGCACAGAAATTGAGCATAAGCTTCACAAAGACGATTTTCTATTAAGTCAGACTGCATAATATATTGAATGATAAATCAGAAAGATACGCATAAGATTGCTAGGTAAATTACACATATCCTGTACTTGAATATCAATCTACCAGATTGAGCAAGATTCCAAGAACACACAAGTTTCTTAGCTGTTTCATTAATATCTCCATCTTCTACACACAGCTTCCCATGTCTTCTATAGCCACGGGCACATTTCAACTTCCCTTGATAACATTCTCCATTACTTGGACAAGGTTCACAAATATCTGCAAAGACACATTGGTTTGTAGGCTATTAAAAAAGGTTACACGAATCAAACTCAAGTCAGGTGTCCAAGATTTTGGTAGATCAGCAATTACAATGGCATTCATTCATCTAAAGTATTGGAATTGGGTACCAAGTTCACAATGCAAATACAAGAATCATCATGTACCAATAAAAAGAAGCTTAACACATAGAAAAGGAAATTCCTTTTCAGCTTAAACAGCATAGAACGAACTTGACTAGCATTATTCACAACTAAGAAAACTCCAATTCAAGGAAACCATAATAGATAAATATCAATTCCCATACAACACTGTAGCTACAAATTGCAATAAGGATGCCAGCGCGACGAGCAAAGAACAATTGACAATCATACATATAATGCCCTTGATTTCCCATTCACCATACAAAAGGAAAACTCAAAAACTACTGCCAGAATGAAGCGGCCCAGCATAAAATCAGAGAGAAAAAGGGCATAACAACTGACCAGGGATAGAATCCATGGAGTCTAAGTTGCTATCGCAGAAGGGCTTTGAGCCAGAACTGAAGAAGGCGACCAAGAAGTTGCAGGAAAAAGCAACTGCGGAAGCTATCGCGACAACCGCCAGAAGACGCAAGAACTCTTCCCTGGACGGGAACAAGTTCTTCGGTGGCTCAATTATCAGAGAATTTGAAGATGAAGGAGAGGAATGAGATTTAGGTTTATGGGGCCGTTTCAGTTTCGAAGACATCTCCTATGATCGGAAAAACGAATCTTTTTCCCTCTTTTTTCTGAGAAAAATGGGATGAAGAAAGGCGAAGGATTTGCTGTTAAGAAAAACAAAGGTGCGTTTGGGTGTAAAAGTGGTAATTTTAACCTTCCCTAGCGCAGAAGGTACAATTCAGCCCTTTTATTTATAATATTGTGGTATGTCAGCCTTTCTATTTTAAATTAGTGCAAATTAGCCCTTCAATCACACAAAATCTGCAAATTAGCCCTAAAGATACATCATTTTTCCATTAAACTGTCAATTGCCACATTAAGATGGGATGATTAGGTGTTAATTAGGGGATGACTAAATAATGATTTGGACAAAAATAAGCAACTTAAACATCCTTAAAGTGACAATCTAGTCATCGCCTAGTCATTCCATCTTAACACAGCAATGGACAGTTTAACGGAAAATGATGTTATCTTTACTAAAAGTGCTAATTTGCAGATTTCATGTAGTTGAGGAGTTAAGTAGCACTAATTTAAAGTAAAAAGGCTAACATGCCACAACATTATAAGTAGAAGGGCTAAGTTGCGGTTTAGTTTCAATTATAACCAAAACGAAATTACTAGGTAAACAAAATTTCAAGTATTAAATTTTAAAAACCAATAGCGAAATTGAGAAAAACAAATTTTGTTGGTTTTGGTTAATTTTTTAAAAATAATTGTTCATGTTGATTTCAATTTTAACAGAATAATTATTTTTATATTTTTAATTTTTTAATTTTTATTTTAGTAAGTTCAATTTTAAATAACTAAAAATTACCTAAATAAATAACTAATTTGGTAAAAAGTGACAAAAAAAACCTTAAGAAATTTATACAAAATGCTTTTGGGCTAGATTTTTCAATTGTAGTTAGGTTAGTCATCGGTTTTTAAACATAGCACTCAAAATTCAAATCATTTGAAATCGGCTTGATTGGGTTTTTATTAAAAAAAAAAACTCAAAAAGTTAATTAAACCCTACTTGTCGATTATGATATCAATCAATTTTGGATTTTTTTCGGTTGTGGATTTTTTTACCTACCTCTAATGTTTTGCAATAATGCTGTAACTATAATATCATATGAATTTATAAACTTATAATCATTATATGATATTAAACAAGTGAATATATATATTATTATATTTAAACTTTTAAATGAAAATAAATATATAATAACACATAATATAATATATTTATAATGTTAAATGGTATTATAGTTATATTATTTCAAATTTTTTCTACCACAATTCTTAAAACTTTCATATCAATCTTTTTCCCTATTAATTTTTCACCAAACATATAAAAGTCATCATCATACGGAAAAAAGCAATAGAAATTGCAGCCATATGGTGGAAAGTTGCATCCTCCATAACCAAAAGAGGCTCCGTTGCAATTTCCCCTTCGACTTGAAAGCATTACGAGCACCTTTTAAAAGGGCAATTACTGGTTGAGTCGGGGGTGTTAGATTCGATTCTTAGAGAATAAGGAAACGAAAAAAGGCAGGGTCTTGGAAGGTTTAAAACGTTGTGTTTTTACCAAGTATTGGAATAAAATTCTCATTGTCGTCTTGCAAGGAAGATGTTTTGTACGATCATTAGGTACAAATTAAGGATGTAACACAAGTGTATGCAGATGCATCAACACACGTAGACGCAAACAGTCTGCCCAACTGCGTGGCCAAAAATAGCAGACCAGCTTTTTGGAATATTTTGGCAACTCAAAATAGCTCCCTCTCCAACTACCAACTTCTTCATGCAACCAAATCTACGAAGAGCATTTGTCATACAATTGACTTTCTTATTTAGCAAAGCTTAAATGATACATAAATAGCAAACCGTTTATGCGCGCCTCAAGTTTCAAAACGATCTTCGTTCTTCCTCTATCAAAAACATCCATCACGCTTAACTCCTATTGCCTCCATGCTCGCAGCTTTAAATCTCAACCTACATTCTCAAGTACCCATTACAGAAATCTCAAGCTGGATGACTCCAGGCTCCTCAATCTGCTGTCTAATTATCGACTCCGTGAAGCACGCATCCTGCTCGATGAAATGCCTCAAAGAAGCCGCCATGGTCAAGTCGTTCACTTGACTTCTCTTCTTACCAAGTACTCAAGAAATGGTTTTATCAATGAAGCGAAAGCGCTGTTTGAGATCATGCCGGACAGGAACGTTGTTAGTTATAATGCGATGTTGTCGGGTTTTGTCCAGTGTGGGAGGTTGGATGAAGCTAGTAGGTTGTTCGAGGTCATGCCGGAAAGGAATGTGGTGTCGTGGACTTCAATGCTGTGTGGGTTGGCAGAGGCGAGGAGGATTTGTGAAGCGAGGAAATTGTTTGATGAAATGCCTGAGAGGAATGTTGTTTCGTGGAACTCTATGCTTGTTGGTTTGATTAGGAGTGGAGATTTGGAGGAGGCTAGATGGATTTTTAATGCAATGCCTATCAAGAATGTGGTTTCTTGGAACACAATGATTTCTGGATATGCAGAGAATTGTAGAATGGAAGAAGCATGTGTTCTGTTTGAGGAGATGGATTATAGAAATGTTGTTACATGGACTACTATGATTGCTGGTTATTGCAGGGCTGGAAAAGTGGATGAGGGGTATTGCTTATTTTGTAGAATGCCTGAGAGGAATATTGTTTCTTGGACAGCCATGATTGGGGGATTTACTTGGAATGGCTTCTATGAGGAAGCTTTGTTGCTTTTTCTTGAGATGAAAGAGACTAATGAGATAAAACCAAATAGGGAAACCTTCATATCAGTTGCTTATGCTTGTAGTGGTATTGCATTTCCTTTTCTTGGCAAACAGTTACATGCTCGGCTAATTATCAATGGTTGGGAGTATGATGATTTTGATGGTAGGTTATCTAAGAGCCTAATTCACATGTATTCTGTGTTAGGTATCATGGACTCTGCAAGTTATATATTCAACAAGAATTCCAATAACTGCGTTCAATCTTGCAATTCTGTGATTAACGGTTATATTCGTATTGGACAGTTGGAAGAAGCTGAGTATTTGTTTAACACAGTACCTATCCGTGACAAGATCTCATGGACTTCAATGATTGATGGGTATTTTAGCTTTGGGCAGGTGTCAATTGCTTGTTTTCTGTTTAGCAACATGCCAGAGAAGGATGCAGTTGCATGGACAACCATGATTTCAGGCTATGTCCATAATGAACTTTTCACAGAAGCTATCAATTCATTTTTGGTAATGCGAGCAGAAGGTATTTCTCCTCTTAGTTCTACATATTCTATTCTTTTAGGAGCAGCTGGAGCAACAGCAAATCTTGATCAAGGGAGGCAGTTCCACTGCATGCTTATGAAAACACAAGACGAATTTGATTTGATTCTTGAGAATTCTCTGATCTCTATGTATGCAAAATGTGGGGTCATACATGACGCAAATGGAATATTCTCAAATATGGTCTTCCGGGATACTATTTCTTGGAATTCAATGATCATGGGATTTTCACATCATGGACTAGCAGTTGAAGCCCTAAAGATTTTTGAAGCCATGTTGGAATCTGGTACTCATCCAAATTCAGTTACTTTCTTGGCCACCCTATCAGCATGCAACCATGCAGGGCTCATTGATAAAGGATTGGAGTTATTCAACTCAATGAGGGATGTTTATGCAATTCAACCCGGTTTAGAGCATCACATTTCTATGGTCAATCTTTTAGGCAGGGGTGGGAAAGTAAAGGAAGCAGAAGGGTTTGTCTTGAATTTGCCTTTTGAACCAGATCAAGCTATCTGGGGTGCATTGCTTGGTGTATGTAGGTTCAGTGAGTCGGGTACTGAGATTGCTAAACGTGCTGCCAAAGAACTGCTTAAGCTGGACCCATTAAATGCACCTGCTCATGTTGTGCTATGCAACATATATGCAGCAGAAGGCCATTATATTACGGAACAAATGTTGAGGAAGGACATGGGATTGAAAGGTGTTAGAAAGGTCCCTGGATGCAGTTGGATTCAGTTGAATGGGAGAGTTCATGTGTTTATGTCAGGAGATAAACCACATCCACAAGCAGCTGAGATAATATCCCTCTTATTTCGTGTTGATGAAAGAAGGATGTAATTTTGGTCTTCCTTTTATTTGTTGGTTTCATAATTTGGAAAATTATAATCATTTTTAATTGTAACATTGTCACTATTTTTTACACAAATTTTGATGATATTTTTTCTGGCAAAACTTTAGCCTCGCCTTTGCAAATTTTTGCAGCTGATCATGCAATTGCATTATTTCCACATGGTAAAAAGTCAAGAATGTTCTTATCTGTTAGTTAATATGCAAAAAAGAAAAACAAATTCTTCATCCTTGCATCATACTGAGAAAAGCAAGAGAAATTGCGGCCATCTGATGGAAAGTTGCATCCTCCTTAGCCAAAAGAGACTCCGTTGCAATTTCCCCTTCAGCAAAAAATTGTTCACAAGAATCTGGAATAGTAATGGCCGAACTGAGGGATGCTTTGGCTGTTGCATAATTCTTCGACTTGAAAGCATTATGAGCATCTTGTAAAAGGGAAATTACTGGAGAGTAAACCTCAGCACAAGTGTCCACGCATGATCGGACATGTCCCACAATGGTTTCATTGGTTAAGAGTTTTTCAATATTGTAGGAGATGATGTTGGTTGCATTTTTCTCTGCGAGATTAATTGAGATCAAGTACAGTTGTCCAAGGCTTATAGCATCCTGGATCATGGGATGTGATTTGATGCTGGAAACACAAAGGTCATACTTTATATTCGGGCTGCTTGTAGAAACAACCTTGCATGCACGTTGGAGAGCAGGATTGGTGCTCTGAGCCGAGCAATTCAAAAGAAAGAAGAAAAGGAAAAGGAAAACCAAGCGCAAAGACGTATTTTACTTTTCCTATCTCCTTTTTCTTTACCTGATTAGGAACGACAATACTTCTTTCATTTGCTGTAAGAAATAAAGAAGAATGAATTGCTAAAAATAGAGCTTGAACATGGCCTCTCTTTATAAAATTATGAAACTAATAATAGGATTTTTTCTGTTAATGACTTAAGTAATTCAATGGTAATTTTTTTCTGTTAAAATAACAAATTTTAAATTCAAGTCGCATAACATGCGAATGAAATGGAATAAAAGATGAGAGAATGTTGACTCCGTTGTGCAACTAATATAAAAAAAAATATTAATAATAGGGTTTTTTCTTAGAGCCAAAATCTAATGATAAGGCTAACTTTGTGGGAAATAAGGCATTAATTGAATCTAAATCAAAGTTTCATTAGTTTTTATTTTAATTCTTGACATCGTAGACCTTAAAACATACTATATCTTTGGATCAGTATAGATTGAATTGCATTTGATTTATAGAACTCCAACTTTAATTAAAGATTGGCCAGGAAAAATAAGATAACAAAAACATACAAATTCTTGTCTTCAATGAATCATACTGAGAAAAGCTAGAGGGATTGCAGTCATTTTGAAGAAAACTAAGTCCTCCGTGGTCAGAGGAGACTTCAGACCTCCTTCCTTGAAACTGTCTTCGCAGGTACTGGGGGCATCCAAGGCAGCACTTGTCTGTCCATTAGCTGTAGCATAATCTTTCAACTCGAAAGCACTACGAGCATCTTGTAGTTCAGAAACTGCGTCTGAATAGAGCTCTGAGCAAGTTCTCAAGCAGCCCTTGGTATAACCATCGAGCGTTTCATCAGCTAAGAGATTAGAAATGTGGGAACTGACATTTGTCCCGTTGGTTATCGCTAGGTCCATCGAAATCAGAAGCAATTCCTCGAGGCTGCTGGCATTATGACGCTCAACATTCTGTTCAAGACATGAAACACAAAATTCGTAGTTTATGTTTGGGTCGTTATTGGCAGCATCCTTGCAAGCTTGATTGATTACATTGGAGCTACGAGTCATGGAGCAAAGAAAAAAGAAGACAAGAAAAATGAAGACCCAATAGAAAGAATAATAACACTTCATTTTTTTTTTTTTTATTCTCTCTTGTTGATGATGGAGAAGTAGATGAAAATGAGAGCTTTTTATGCTACTTTTTGGACTGAATCAAACACAACCACTAGCTATCTTTATTTATCAGTTAAAGCAAACATGGTAGCTAGGTGCGCGTGTTTTATCATTCTTTTAGTTGTAACCGTGAGATGGTATCTTTTATTACTTAACAAGTACAACACTGTTTGCACCA